AGTCGATCACCAAATCCTTGGAACAATGTGGAGCCACCACTCAATATTATGCTTCCGTAAAGTGTTTTACGCACATCCATGTCGCATTTCTGTAAAAACCAGAACGTTCAAATAAAGTGCACAACACAGTTTATATGAAGCCCGGCACGTGGGCCGCACATCTAGAACTAGAACCAAAATACGCAGCGACCGTTGTCAGAATGAAATTCCGTTTTCAGTTTCCAACCTAAAGATGATGAGATCTGAAAACATACTCTAATTGAGTCATTCACAAGATGAGCGATTCCTGGCCATTCCTCTCCGATCAGTTCTGGTCGGAACAGTACTTCTGGAGCACGGAAACGACTGGCACCTATTTCAAGCCGAGAACCATCCGGCAAAGGATAGATAAGCTGAAATAAACTCATCTTCTGTAGCAAATAGCACTATAGTAAAAAAGATCAAGCAGTAAGTATGTCCGAAATTGAATGCAGCACATTTTCGATTTGAATGCAATGCAAGGCAATATATAACCAATGGGCCAATATATGGCAAGGCAAGCTTAATAAAAAAGGTTCAAGCGAAAAATGATCGATAGGGTGCACCGCCCATAGTAGTTACGGTGAAAAAAATCGATTGGAACGAAATGAACCCCTGCAACATGAACCATAGTGTTGGAGATGACTGCTGACCGACCTTATCGCCCTCATTGGCTTCTTCTTTTACGACGTTCGTGGCCAGGTAACACGCCTTTTCCTTGATTTCACGAACAATTTCAAATTCACTGGTTCTATGAAGATCGGTGCCCTCTTTGCGTAATAACAATCGCAACCATCGGGTGACATCACGTCCGGCAACATCCATCCGTCCGATGCTGCAATAGATTAGCAGAAATTCAAGAAAAGAACGTCCAGCAACACTCAGATGCAACCTCAGAAATTATTATTACAGAAATTTTTGAACTTACGCGTGATCAACTGCAAAACCTTCATATATAGGCACAACATGCGTTACTCCATCTCCAGAATCAAGTACTACACCGGTTGTACGACCTGGAAGGAAGGAGGTGTACAAAGAGTTGGTCGACCATTACTGGTACAGGCGACTCGAAACCTATCATAACGCCCAATCAACTTTGTTTATAATCGTGAACGAGATATAGTAGTGAATCATACCATAAAACACATCATCGTACCTTACACATTTACACTGATATGGAATCTCAACTCTGACATAAAGCGATGGTAGAAGAGCCGTGCACAGGCTACAAGTCAAGCTTTCAAAAATTGTCCCAAACACGCAACTTAGCCCTTATGCAGACCAACTCAATAACAAATTGTAAGCATGAACTATCCTCGAGGAAAGTTACTGAACGAGTATCGATGCGTGATTTATTCTTGGACCCTGAGCTGTTGGTATGGTCAAAGTTTAGTAAATGCGAGCCCTAAGTAGTGAACCGTACAAAGTTATAGAATATTGTCATATCGAGGAAACGTGAACGAACTTGGCAGTACTCAATAAATTTCTTCTCGTAAGATCCGGTGAACCAAATCCATGAAGAGGCTGTTTACTTTCATGAAAAATTAAAGGCACAGTTCACGATAAAAACGGTTACTTAGGTTTCCCCACAGAATGAATTCGGGGCCCCGCGTATACCACATCTGGCACTATCAGGTCGGAAAACTGCCTAGTTAGGGCGTCGTAGAGGCTCAATGATTGTATCCTGTGTATCCTTGGACGAGTTTCACCGACA